AAGCTTCTTGAGGAAGCTTGACCCTTTGGTTAAGCTTCCTTTAGAAGCTTTGAACCCCTCTCTTGGCTTCTCCATGAAGCCTCACCCTTCTCCCTCTATATAACACACTCCACCTCCATTTGCAAGGGTTAGAGGCTTTGGGCTGAGATATATACATACAAACCTCCATCTTTCCACTTCAAGCCTCCAAACATCCTTGTTCTTGGCCATTCTACACTACAACTCCTAGCCTACCACCTCCACCATCCATTCCAGCCCCTTGAAGCTGATTTTTAGAGGTTGAAGGTTCACCAACTTGGTCCAGAAGCTGCTGGAAACCTGCTCTTCAAGGGTAAGTGCCTATTTCCCCTAAACTCATTTTTTTGCATGATTGGTTAGCCTTATTTGCAAGCATTTCTGGGCTTCGACCCAAACTGTAAAGTGTCTTATTTTGACCCCCTCTTACACTTTTTTTAAGGGTACTTTTCTATTTGAGGTCATTTACTTCCCCTTATCCTCTATCTCTCTTTTAGGGCTATTTTTGCATCCTATTTTAGCCTTACTTGTGAGCATTTTAGAGATTTTCAATAAACTAGAAAAAGTCTTTTTTTGACATCCTCTTCAAGTTTTGTTAAGATCCCATTTCCGTTTGGGGTCATCTTCCCCCTATGCATGCTTCATCCCTTCATGATTAAGGCTATGCATTAGAGCACTTGCATTGGCCATGGTTTGGCCTCTTAGCCACTGAAATCCAGTGGATTTTCAGTAGCTTAGATGCATTTTTTAGGGCCAAAATTAGAGGGGGGTGACCCTCTCTCTCCTTGTCTTGTTTGGGGGTCTTTTGGGCCTTCAAAAGGGACCCTATTTTGCATGCATCGAAGTCTTGTTTCAGGCCTCATTCTGTGAGTTTTGGGGTCTGCCTTGGCTCTATCCAAGGCCCTTTTGGCCATATTTTTTACCGACAATGCATGTGTAGAGCAATCCTATCCAAGGCTCTTCAAAGGAGCCTTTCTTTGCATGTTTCCTAGACTGATTTCAGGGCCTATTTGGTGAGTTTTAGGGCTTTCATAATCCATTTTCAGAGTTGGTTTTTCCATGCTAAGTGTCTATCTTGTATGTGCTTAACAACCCCTTGCAAGGCCCTCCAAAGAAGCCCCTCATTTTTGCATGCATTGGCTGCATTTCAGTGATTAGTTGGGCATATTTTGGCATGTTTTATTCACTGTTTTTGGCTAGTTTGATGAGTTCTCATTTTCTTCATATACATGCCATGTAAACCATGCTTGCTAGCCAATGTTGCATGCTATTTTAGTCCATCATGTTAGCATCTTTTGGCCATGCTCTAAACTAGAAATGTGCATGTTTTGGGATTGCCTTGGCTCTGTCTTTTGACTTCATGATCAAATAATTCTTGCTTTGTATACTTGTGGTTCAATGCATGTGCCTAGTTTTGAGTTTCGGGGCTTATTCCATGCATCGGGTGCATATTTCCATGTTTCGGGACCATTTAGCATCATGTTTTAGTGCTGGAAATTACATGTTCATAGGCCATCTTTCATCCCTTGCCATGCTTTGGTAGAGTGGCATTTGATGCCTTAGGTTCTGTCCTCGGTATGCATGCACGTGTGCAAGCATTTCGGTCGTCTCATTTTCGTCTAATGGCCACTGATGTGAGTGTGGCTGAGGTCCATTCATGTTGGTGTAAGTCCATCGTGCATTGTGTATGCCTTTTCAATTCATAGCATTGCGTATGGTAGGTTGCGTGTTAGAGCTTTGTGTATGCCATGTTACATCGAGCATTGTGTATGCCATTTCATAGCATTGCGTATGCTAGGTTGTATGTTAGTCGCATTGTGTATGCCATCTCATTCGCATTATGTTTGGGATAGGAGTTAGCCCGAGCATGGAAAATGAGGGACGTTTCGTACTCCGAGTGACGGAACGTGTCTCAATTCCCTGTCGTCGACACTCCGGATTACCCATGATGGAGTTTAGGTCTTGTTGTGTTTTCATGTGCATTCATTTCATATCGAGTCATGCAATTCGACTCCTCGGCCATCATGCATCGATATGCGTGATTGGTGGCACGAGAATCGAAGACTACACTCCTTGAAGAGTAGTCATGGATACATATGTGAAATACTTTGCCATGCCCCTTTGTTGTTCTCTGTTGCAGTAAATCGGAAATCAGCGGCCTTCTGGAGCGTTGCGCAATATTCTGAAAACAATTGCAAACAGAGGCAAATCGGGAAATCGTAATAGATTTCTGCGCAAGGCAACTCGAGCATGCATCATTCCTCATTTGGAACAGAGCTGAGGCGGTCCATGGATTTGCGTGCTAATTTACCTGCTTTCCTAGATTAATTTGTTAATTAATTAGGATTTTGTATTTATTCCGACTGTACTATTTATTCAGACTGTATTATTCATTGGGACTGTATTATTCTTTCGGACCCTCCGAGCGAGGGCAATGTTGTAATAAGTGTGCGTGAGTATGATGTATGCCTTCCAACCCCACGTCTTTCTCCCTTTTATTTACTAGTTTATGATGGTTAGATTAGGGCATATTTCAATTAGCATACAGTATGATAGCATGTTTGCATTCATTCATCTATCTTGCATGTACCGGGCTCGGCGCATCATACTAACTGCATTTGTATTTCAATTCCAAGTTGAATACGTGTTAGCTGTAGCATTTCATATGCCATCTTAGAATAGCCGAGCCTATCTTAGTTGCATTTTGCATGTGTTGCATTAGGCATTACTGTATAGTTAGGACCATGCATGGATTTCTAATTAGCTTCTGTTTTGGCTTGGAGTACTCGGTAAGCATTACGCTTTAGCATCCTTGCATGCGTGTGAGTGAATGCCATGATAGCATGCTTACCATGAGGCTATGTGCTTATGTGATATAAACTGTCTGAATGCCTGTGGGTGAAGGTTGGGTTATTTGAATTGGAACAATTCATTAATTGTGAGTTTTAAGCCCACTAGATAGTGGCAAAATCATGTTTTTCAAAGCCCACCAGAGGGTGGCAAATCCACGTCTTAGCCTACTTGCGGGTAGCACCATTAAACCATTTTCAAATAAACAAACATAAAATGTCTTGTTCCAATTCAGGAGACCCAGTCTATACTTGTATACTGTGCGCATCACATAGTAAATCTAGGCTAATAACCGGAATAAAAACGCATAATGTTTTCAAAACTAGATATCATGGTTAGTAGAGGCCGATCTTTGATCGGGCGAGCGGGGGTGCTCACGAAGTGACCTTCCCCGATCGTACCCAAGTTCCCGAGCCGAGGCAACTTTGGTGATGACAGACACGTGGCCTTAGGCAACGAGTCAAGGTTTCCTAAATTTCCCAAGATAAAATATTTAGGTGGCGACTTTGTATCTGGCAAAGCAATCCATATTTGGTACTTCTTTCAAAAAATCTATTTTCAAAAACGATTTGCCGGATTTGGACTCTTTGATGACTCATCAGTCTTGCATTGCACTCCGCGATATTAGATACAGGACCGTGACACAAATTGAATCCAAACTGTAGAGAGACTTCGGTGAAGTGAGGAGGTGAGGTTCTCTCTGTGAGAGAGAAACAGAGGAAAAGGACTGAAATCTGGGCGCCTAAATTAGGGCGCCTAAAATATGTTCCCAAATATTTTAAATCTTTTAGCAACTAAACGTTTTTTTAGTCGCCATAAGTTGACTATTTGGTGACTAATTGTTCTTTTGTCGGGAAAAATTGAGTATACCGCGACTAAATATTTTTTAGTCGCCAAAACTGCATATTTGCCGACCAAATTCTGTAGTCGCCAAAGAGTAACAGTGCAAATGTAGGTATTATTTGGCAACTAAACTTATTTTAGTCGGCAAAAATTAGTATACTACGACTAAAATAAAATTTAGTAGCTAAAAAACTAGAGCAATGGCGACTAATAATTTTTTAGTCGCCTATTGTGGAAAATTTACCGACTAATGTTTTTTTTGGTCGCCAATAAATAATATACGTCGACTAAAATATTTTAGTAGCAAAAACTTGAACGAATGGCGACCAAAATAATTTTTAGTAGCCAAAAATTGAACTTTTGGCGACTAAATCCCTTTTAGTAGCCAAATTTAGTCGCCAAAAGTGTAAATTGTTGTAGTGTTTGGTTGTCGATGTTATCCTTGGCTCAAGCCCTACACTGTTCACAAGTTTCAACCTAAATCTCTTCCTTGTATTTTCTTAGGTTATCATCCTACAGTCAAAGGCTATCGATGTCTTGATCCTGTTACTAACAAGATTTATCTTTCTCGGCATCTTGTCTTTGATGAGACTCTTTTTCCTTTGGTTACCACTCCATCTTCTACTTCTTCTCCTACTTCTATGTCTGATTTGACTTCTTTCTTTTGCTCTTCTTCTATACCTCATCCTTCCTCTCCTTCTACAGATTCAGTTCCTGCTCTATCTCCTTCTGCTAGTTTATCTTCTTCTCCTTCTGGAGCTCTTTCATCTCCTACTTCTCCTTCTCCAATTCCTATCTCTTCCATTTCTATTCATCTTCCTTCTATTCCTTCTACTTCCAATACACATCCTATGGTTACTAGATCTAAGTCTGCTTTACCTGCTCTTGTTTCTACTACCTGTTCTTCTGATGTTACTGAACCTCCTTTTTATCAAGCTGCTCTTCTTTCTAAAGACTGGTTTCATGCTATGACAGAGGAGTTCTCCGCTTTACAGGGGCAACATACCTAGACTTTGGTTTCTCCTTCTTCTTCTCAGCATGTTATTGGCTGTAAATGGGTTTTTCGTATTAAAAAGCATGTTGATGGTTTCATTGCTCGATTTAAGGCTCGTCTTGTTGCCAAAAGATATCTTCAAGAGGCCGGTGTTGACTTTTATGATACATTTAGTCTCGTGGCCAAACAGCCCACTGTTCGTATTTTGTTGTGTCTTGCTCTTCATTTTCAGTGGCCTCTCCGTCAATTGGATGTGTCCAATGCCTTTCTTTATGGCCATTTATCTAAGGAAGTCTATATGACTCAACCTCCTGGGTTTGAGGATCCCATTCATCCTTCCTATGTTTGCAAGCTTAATAAAGCTCTTTATGGCCTCAAACAGGCGCCTCGCGCTTGGTATAATACTTTCTCCTCTCATCTTCTTTCTCTTGGTTTTCATACTAGTGCTTCTGATACTTCTTTGTTCACTCAACATACTTCTACTTCTCTTACTTTTCTTTAGTTTATGTTGATGACATTTTGATCACAGGTAATAATTCTTCTCATATTTCATCTTTAATTACTCAACTCAATTCTGTGTTTGCTCTCAAAGATCTTGTTCCTATTTCCTACTTTCTTGGCATTCAAGTTACTCATACTCCTTCTGGGTTATTTCTTTCTCAGCCAAAATATGCTATTGATATTCTTACTAAAGCTGGCATGCTTGACTGCAAACCTTATTCCTCTCCCATGTCTCTGAAAAATTCTGCTACTGCTGATTCTTCTCTTCTATTTTCTAATCCTTCTCTTTATAGGAGTTTGGTTAGTGTTTTGCAATACTTAACCATTACTCGACCTGATCTTGCTATTTCTGTTAATCAAGCCTGTCAATTTATGCATACTCCCACTAATGGTCACTTTTGTGCTGTTAAGAGGCTTCTTCGGTATCTTAAAGGCACTCTTTCTCATGGCTTATGTTTTACTCTTGGGTCTTTTGATCTTCAAGTTTTCTCCGATGCTGATTGGGCTGGTGATTCATCTGATCGTCGGTCTATTTCTGGCTATTGTGTGTTTTTTGGTCCCAATCTTATTTCTTGGGCCGCCAAGAAACAACCTACAGTTGCTCGCTCTTCCACTGAAGCTGAATATCGGTCTTTAGCTCAGGCCACTGCTAAAGTTTCTTGGCTTAAAATGCTTATTGCTGACATGCATGTTCCTTTATCTATTCCTACTGTCTGGTGTGATAATATATCTGCAATCTCCCTTGTTTCGAACCCTGTTTTTCAAGCTTAGACAAAGCATATCGAGGTCGATTATCATTTCATTCGGGAGAAGGTGGCTCAACGTTTGATTCACCTTCAATATATTCCTTCCTCTGATCAAATTGCTGACATCCTCACTAAGCGCCTCTCTCCTTCCCGCTTTCACTATTTGCAATCCAAACTCATGGTATTTCCTTCGCCCATCAGTTTGCAGGGGCATAATAGGGAATTGATCACAGGGTCCAGCAGCTGCAGCAGTAGGACTCAGTTCACAGATCATGCTGAGAAGGATCATGTAACTGTTAGGCCAATTTAACTGTTAGAATGTGTTAGCCAGATGTGCAGGAGAGATTGTTAGGCTGTGTTAGTTAGTTAGTTAGTTAGACTAGTTTGTTAGAAGGCACATGTATAATAGGTATTGAGATTGTATACAGTTTCACCTATAAATAATGTGTAAATTCTGAGTTTTAATTGTAATGAAAAATATCATTCAAGTATATCATCTTCTTCATGTATTACTACTAGTATTAATGGGTTGCATTTTAGAAATGCTATGTATCAATAAAGATTTTTGCTTTGCCGTTCAAAAAAAAAAACGAAATGCTATGTATCTAAAAATAATAGTCAGAAAAATATTTAGACTTTAAATTTATGTCATAGAATTTATATTACACATATTAAATTTTAAGCACTTTTTAAATACTCTTGTCAATATATAAAGCATTAATTGTTGCTTTGTTTTTTTAAGCAAAATTTGTAAGAAGATGTATTGAGTATAGTAACTTTTATATATATATATATATATATATATATTGATATTGGAGGTATCTTATACTAGCTTGTGTGGTCCGTGGATCCAAGAATTTTGGCTAGAGAAATGAGTCAAACCAGAGATCTTAGAAGGAGTAAACTCCCAAATCTCAGACCTCATCCATCAGGCCAAACCTTTGAGATTAGATTTCATATTTTAAAAATAATATAGCATTTATCAAGCCATATGAGAAGCTACATAAAAAAACAAAAAATTTGGTAAAATATTGAGAAGATATACAGCGGTTCTCTTCTTCTTCTTTTCTTGGACATTAGGTTGGAAATCCACCACATAATGAATCTTCATCTTGCTTATATGTTAAACTGTTTTTGAGACAAAGCTCCTCCTCCAAGTGTGTGAATAAAAAGTATATAATATAAGGACTAAACAGTAAAAAGGTGACGAGAGGAGAGATATAATCTAATCTAAAACAAGAGTATTCAAATCAGTTAATAATCACTTTTTCAAAGTCTTCTATCCAATCCACCCTCCAAAATCAAATCCAGATTATGTTGACAAAGTGAGAACAAAGATATCTAGATTTTCCTTGGCAATCAATCCTAAAATCCTTTGGCAATCAACCCAAAATCCAAAACAAAGAAAAAAGAGCAAAAAAGGAAAAAAAAGATGAGAGAGAAATCTTTTAGAGAGAGAAAGGAGGGTAGAGAGGGGGACCCCACAAGGCAGGAGGGTAGAGGTAAGGATGGCATCAGTGGTTGTACCAACAGGGTGTCTAGTCCAAGTAAAGAGAGGAGGGGTTTTTTTTTTGACCCCCCCCCCCCCCCCCCAAAAAATTAAGAATAAATAAATATATTATATATGTTATTTCAATTCTTATAATTTTAATTAATTCAAATTTAATTTTAAATTTTAAATTTTACATCAATTTAATCCTATTGATAATGTTTCTAGAGATTTTAACCACAAAAAAAAAAAAAAATCCTTAAGAAATTAATTGAAATTAAGTCACTAAGTTAATTGAATTTATAGTTTTATTTTTAAAAATATGACGTAGGCTACTCATGTATAGATTTGCTATAAAAAATATTAACAATTAAAAATAATTGAACCAATTTAAAACAAAATAAAAATTTTGGAATCAAAATTTGTTCAATTAAAATTACAGAAACCAAAATAAAATTTATAAAGAATAACAATGAATTTACTTAAAATATATATATATATAAACACACACACAAACATTTTCCTGCAAGACACAGATTGCTTCCCAACTACTCAATAAAATCCTACAGAGATAATACCCCACCTCCCCAATCTCCATTCCCATCCCATTCCCATAGCACGCCTCTCTCTCTCTCTCTCTCTCTCTCTCTCTTAGATATATATAAGGCATATACTAATGCACAGTACTGGTAGTAGCAACTGCAAATCTGAAGGGATCTTTGCACAATTTAGTGAACAAATGGATTTGAAACCAAAAATCCATCAAGAAGAAGAAGAAGAAGAAGAAGAAGAAGACGTACAACATCTTCATGTGTTAGCAGTGGATGATAGTCTCATTGACAGAAAGCTCTTGGAGAGGCTTCTCACTGTCTCTTCCTACCAAGGTATGGTCGTATACCCACATACCTAGTTTTTCCTTTTTTTTTCCTCCCTTAATCGCAGACCGTTGCATGGAAAAGGAAATACAATTAGGTGCTTTTTATTTTTTTTGGCTATACAGAGCCCGTAGCCTGGTGTATAGCCTGTGGATTGGTTGGGAGTCTTGTCTGTGACAAAACTCGAACCATTGTGGCTCATATTTTAACTCAATATCATGTATTGCAATTTGAAGTCCATGTATAACTCTCTCTCTCTCTCTCTCTCTCTCTCTCTCTCTCAATGTTTGTGTAGTGACTTGTGTGGATTCTGGAAACAAAGCTTTGGAATACCTGGGTTTGCTTGATGACAAAGACAACATTGATTCCACAAGCTCTACTACTACTACTCTTTCTTCTTCTTGTTCTTGTACATCTTTATCCCAACAAGAGGTGACAATTCTATGATATAACTTAAATTTCATTTTTCTTTGTTTCCTCATTTTCTGGTTGTTTGTTGTACAAAAAATAAATAAAAATCCTAAATGGATCTTTCTGTTCCCTCTTTTCACCACAAATACTTTGTTCTTTAAGCACCAGACTCCCCCATCAAACTGGTGAAAACATTACTTTCTGGGGCCTCCAATTTGAAAAAAATAAAAACCACAAAGGCAATAAAATTCCAGTTTTTAACTAACTAGGTTAATTTAGTTGGTCAGAATAGTTGCATCGAGGGTTCGATTCTTGTCGCGTGCAAGGTTCCTACATAAATTACAGTCCGATGTATCAAAGAAAAAGCTTCGAATTCTATTCATTGCGGGTGTGTTTTTCTATATATACATATATATATACTCAATAAAAATAAAAATTAAAAAAAAGTCTCAAATTTCAAATGCTTTTTGTTTGGAGGTTAAAGAGGTTTGATGACAATTTAGATCCTAAATTAATGTTGCATATATGTAGGTGTTCCTTCCATGGAGGGGGCTTTAATTTCATGCAAAGGTCTCCACACAAATAGTTCAAAGGGCACATGCATTGCTAAATGAATTGTAGCATATCATAACTAAAAGACAAGCATTTAAGCCTACCCTCTTTGTACTATTTCTGTCAAATAGATGTGAGTGTCCTACCAAAATCCTACAATTTTTTTTAATGTGTTTTTTAGAGGGTGGATGCCCAAAATCCTATAGTTAGAACCCCTTATGTAGATACCAATTCATCACATATGTTTAACTACACCAGAATCACCTTTAAGATATATATAATTAAATAAAATTCTACATTTAAAAAATATATATATATATATATATTTTTGCATTTTGCTAGTTGTAGAGAATGTAGGTAAATACAAAGTAACACAGATACACTATCACAACTGTGATACATTAGATACATACTTAGACACCAATTTTGATTATAACTTTTTATTTTTTTATTTTTTATAGTTATTTATAAAGTACACAACTAATTTACTAAGGATTTGAAGTGTGTATATTAGTATTCCATTCCAGTTACACTTTGCATAATTTGAAATTCTTTCAAATGCACATGATCATGTTTCTTAATTTTTTTCATTATTCCATGTGTTTTTGTCTTATTTATTTACTTATTTATTTTCTCTTTAACACTAAATATTGAAGATTTTTAATATGAAATCAGGTGCAGGGATCAAAAGTCAACTTAATCATCACAGATTATAGCATGCCGGGAATGAGCGGCTATGATTTGCTAAGAAGAGTGAAGGTCAGCCACCCCAACCAACATTCAATTATATCTTTAGTTACTTCAATTAGCTATTTGGTATCTAGTCAAAAATAAATAAAAAATAAAAATACATAAATAAATAAAAATTGTCCCATATCCACATCACCTAAGCTAATAACCACAACAACTAACATTGCTTATAAATTAGATTTTAGCATATCATAATTGCATTTGTAGCTTGTGTAGTTTAATTCATTTCTTGATCTTAATTGAAAGAAAAAATAATTGATTGTTCCAAAGTGCTATTGAAACTAGCTTCTTTATTTATTTTCTACTTATATATTTTTCTTTCTCATGGGGGATGCTTGAACCTGCAGGGGTCTTCTTGGAAAGATATACCAGTTGTCGTGATGTCATCAGAAAATGTACCTTCCAGAATCAATATGTATGCTTCTCTTCTCTAAACTTGTCCCAACTCATGCTTTTAAATAAATAAAACTGGTTTGCGATGTGTATCAGTTAAAAGTCGATTCACAACTGGTATGACCTGTTCACAGTCAATACGGCCACCTGGGCTGGTGTAAAGCTCCTCTCTCACGGTTGATAATTTTAAAAAATCCACAATCATGTCACTTAGTTCCCGATATGCCTTACTTGATAGACCCAATACTGATTCATCTTCTGATATCACTATTTGCAGAACTTTGGTTCATGTCATTGTATACATATGACTCTTATAATGTATATGTTTGATTATCTTAATTAATTTGTAGGTGCTTGGAAGGAGGAGCAGAGGAGTTCCTACTAAAACCGGTTCAGTTATCGGATTTAAGGAAGCTTCAATCTTACCTTTTGAAGCCCCTGACCCATTCATGCGAAGATCTCGATATGAATTTGGTCAATAGTAGCGATCACAACAACAATAACAGTGACAACAACAACAACAATGACAAGAGCAACAACAATAACCTTAACAAAAGGAAAGCAATGTCCCCAGAGTGCTCCTCAGAGAGAAGGCCCAAAATGAAAGAATTAGCTGTGGTTTAATATAACTAATCTAACATTTTTTAGATTTTTTTTTTTTTTTTTTGGAGAGAGTATATGATATGCATGCATGGCTTACCATATTTTGTTTAACTTGATTAACACAAATATTTTGTTTGCAAATTAAGCCTCTAATTTATCCATAGAATTTGTGTCAATCTATATATGCATACAAATTCAATGTTTTTTAGTTATAAACCAGGTGACCAACAATGGTTCTTTATATCAAAATATTACTATGTAAATATGGAAGTTTGAAGATTTTGATCTGTTGAGTGAAAATATTTTAGCACAAACTAACAATTACCCTTCCTTTCCTTGTCTTCATGAACAACAAATAGCTTGTCATTTATTTATTTATTTACTTTTTTTGAGAAATTACACACACACACACACACACACACACAAAACTGAGACCCTTTAACTAGACTACACTTTTTTTAGAAGAGTGTCCAGAAATTTTGACATGGGCTTAGATTGATTGTGCTACTAGGAGATCCTTACATTGAAAAATCTAAACCACACTGATGTTTTTGATTAAAATTTTAGGTACCTAATATTACTGAAGGAAATACTGTGGGGTCACTCTGTACTATGTATTTTTATTCTCTTTCCCACTTCATGTCCAACCATTTTCTCTACCTAAGTCATAAATAAATGCACTCTCTAATATGTAAATCACATTTATTTCTGTCTAATACATACATGAATGAGATAATAAACAAATATTGTTTATTTATACAACAATATGTAACTAACTCTCTAATTCTAATAGAACAACAAACCTAACCAACTCTACTTGGTGAGTTACTAACTTTATAAGTCTGTGAGACATTATGCATGACAGTCAAGCACATGGGATGAGCTGCCTTGGATGCTTTGCACTGCTCTACTCAAGGAGATTACAGCTGCTGTAGAGGAGTGAGTCTAGCCTTGTGTTGATGTTGAGCCTGTGCTAACTGCTGCTGAGACTGCTACTGAGACTAGTCTGATGGTTTAAACTCAGACTTAGCTATGTAGAGCACATTCTTGATTGATCTTATCATCCCCCCTCAAGCTTATGGAAACTAGAAGTAGCATAAGTTTGTCCTTCAGATAATAAAATCTAGAAGCAGATAAAGGCTTGGTAAACAAATTTGCAAGTCGATCAGTGGTAAGGATGTGTTGAAGAGCAATCTTCTTAGCAACAACTCTCTCCCTAACAAAATGACAATCAATTTCGATATGCTTGGACCGTGAATGAACGACAAGATTAGACGCAAGAGCCATAGCAGAAGGATTATCACATCAAAGAATAGGAACAGAAGAGGTAGAAATAGAAAAATCAGTCAACAAATGTTGAAGCCAAGTAAGTTCAGCAGCAATGTTGGCCAAAGATCTATATTCAACCTCGGTGGATGACCTGGAAACTGTTGGTTGTTTCTTAGCTAAGCAAGAGATTAAATTTGGACCAAGAAAAATGCACTACCCAGAAGTAGACCTTCTATCTATTGTGTCACCAACCCAATTAGAATCTAAAAAAGAATGAAGAGGGAAGGGTCCAGGAGTGAAACTAAGACCATGAGACAGAGTACCTTTAACATATCTCAAAAGGCGTTTGACAGATTGAAAATGAGCATTTGTTAGGACATGCATGTGTTGACAAGCTTGATTGACTGCCAAGGACAAGTCAGGTCTGGTTATGGTAAGATATTGAAGGCCACCTACAATGCTTCTATAAAGAGATGGTTAGGAAAAAGGAAAGGCATCTAATGAGGACACAAAAGGCTTCATGGACATAGGAGTGGAACAAGGCTTACAATCAGTCAAACCAGCATTCAATAGAAGTTTTGAAGCATACTTATGTTGGGAAAGAAAATACCTTGTGAAGTCTTTTGTAACAAAAAGGCCCAAAAAAATAAGAAATAGCACCCTTTTTTCATGGAAAAAATTGAATACATTTGATGAAGAAGATGAGCAATGAAAGTAGAATCACTACTAGTTAAAAGAATATCATCTACATAGATGAGAAGCACGGTGAGACTGGAAGAAGTCTAGTGAATAAAAAGAGAAGTATCTGGTGAGACTGGAAGAAGTCTAGTGAATAAAAAGAGAAGTATCTGAGAAACTATTGGTAAAACCTTGAGAAAGAAAAAAAATGAAAAAGTTGAGTACCAAGCTCTTGGAGCTTGTTTAAGACTATAAAGGGAATTGTTTAGTCTGCAAACATGAGAATGAGATGTGGAATCAACAAACCCCTGAGGTTGTACCATGTACACCTCCTTCTCGAGTTTGCCATGAAGAAAGGCATTTGAGATATCTAACTGTTTGATAGACCAATTATAATGAAGAGCCAAACAGAGAAAAATCCAAATTGTGGGTTATTTAGCCACTGGGCTAAAGGTTTCTTGAAAATCAATACCTTCTTGCTGCAAATACCTCTTAGTAACCAACATGGCTTTGTATCTGGCAATACTACCATCGGAGTTCTTCTTAATACGAAAGACCTAATTACAACCAATAGCCAGTTTAGAAGAGGAATAAACAACTAAATTCCAAGTATCTTAATCTTAAAGAGCTTTAAATTCATCTGTCATGGCAGCAACCTAGTCATGAGATTGAAGAGCTTCTTTGACAATAACTGGCTTAGTAAGAAGCAATTTAGAAGAAAGATCAGTGATGGAAACCTAAAGACAAACAGAATTTCTGGCTTTGGACCTGGTAGTCATGGAATGAAAGTTAAGTGTAGAGGAAAAAGGAATAGTGGGAGGTGCTATAGGTGGATTAGACTGAAAAGTGGGAGATCAATACTAATGGAGGTAATAGGAATACAATAAGGTGGAGGAGAGACAAACTCACAAAGAGAGGAAGGCAATGAGGAAGATCATAGCATAGATACAGAAGAATGAAGAGAAGCTGAGGACCAAAAGAAAGAGCTAAGAGATGGTGAAGGTGACGAGAGGACAGGAGCTGATGAAATGTTATAAAAAGGAAAGCATGTTTCGTTAAATAAGGCATGCCTAGATATATAGACTTTATGGATTCATGCGATACCAACAATCAAAAGCTGTGTGACTAAGTTCTCCACAGATCTGACAACCATTGGATGATGATTGTTGATATGAGAATCAATATCTACCTCGACCTCTGTGATTATATCTTCCTCTCTAACTCATATATCTACTTCTTTTACCTCTGTAAGAATTTTGACCTCTAGATTGTAATGAAACACCTTTATAGGAACCAAGTTGAGAAGAAGCGAACCGAGTTTCAAAACCAAAAGATCCAGATGATCCTTTGGTGGCTACATAGGTGTAGACGTCCCTGAACGCCCCGGGGAGGAACGAGGTCCCCCGTTCCGTTCGATATTGGGCTCACTACAGTTCAGGATTCTAAAATTGTCACGGCTCTAAGTCTGAACCAAAGAGTCCAAATCCGGCAAATCGTTTTTGAGAAAATAGATTTTTTTAGAAAAGAAGTGCCAAACATGGACTGCTTTGCCAAATACAGAGTCGCCACCTAAATGTTTTATTTTGGAGAAATTTAGGAAACCCTGACTCGTTTGCCTAAGGCCACATGTCCGTCATCACCAAAGTTGCCTCGGCTCGGGAACTTGGGTACGATTGGGGAAGGTCACTTCGTGAGCACCCCTGCTCGCCCGATCAAAGATCGGCCTCTACTAACCATGATATATATTTTTGAAAACTTTGTGTGTCCTTAATCCGGTTATTAGCCTAGGTTACTATGTGATGCACACAGCATATAAGTATAACTGGTATCGCCTGAATTGGAAACAAAACATTTCATGTTGTTGTTTGAAAATAGTTTGATGGTGCTACTCGCAAGTAAGCTAAGACGTGGATTTGCCACCCTCGGGTGGTTTAGAAAAACATGATTTTGCCACTATCTAGTGGGCTAAAACACACATTTGATGAATTGTTCCAATTCAAATAACCCAACCTTCACCCACAGGCATTCAGGCAGTTATATCACATAAGCATATAGCCTCATGGTAAGCATGTTTATTCATGGCAATCACTCACACGCATGCAAGGATGCTAAAGCATAAAACTTACCGAGTACTCCAAGCCAAAACAGAAGCTAATTAGAAATCCATGCATGATCGTAAATATGCTGAAATGCCTAATGCAACACATGCAAGAGTGTAACTATAGCAGGCTCGGCTATTCTAAACATGGCATATGAAATGCTACAGCTAACATGTATTCAACTTGGAATTGAAAATACAATGCAGTTAGTATGATGCGCCGAGCCCGGTGCATTGCAAGACAGATGAATGAATGCAAAACTGCTATCATACTGTATGCAATTGAAACATGCCCTAATCTAACCATCATAAGCCGGTAAATAAAGGGAAAAAGACGTGGGGTTGGAAAACATACATCACACACAACCGCACACTTATTATAATATTGCCCTGCGCAGAGGGTCCGAAAGAATAATACAGTCCCGAATAAAATATTACAGTCCAAATAATACAGTCCGAATAAATAATACAGTCCAAATATATACAAAAATCCTAATTAATTAACCAATTAAACTAGGAAAACAATAAACTGGCATGCAAGCCAGGGACTGCCTTGACTCCGCCCCGGATGATGAATGATGCGTGCTCGGCGTCGCCTTGCGCGGAAATCCATGGCGATGCCCCAATTAGCCTTTTTTTTGCAATAATTTTTGGAAAGCGCGCCAAGCCCTGGAAGACTGTTGATTCTTGATTTGCGCAATAAGAGCAGGAAAAGGGCATGGCAATGTATTTCCACAAATGTATGCATGCCTCGATCCTCGTGCCACAATCACGCATCTCGATGCATGATGGCCGAGGAGTCGAATTGTGCAACTCAATATAGATGAATGCACATATAAACACAACAAAACCTAAACTCCATCATGGATAATCCGGAGTGTCGGTGACTGGGAATTGAGACACGTTCCATCACTCGAAGTACGAAACGTCCCTCGTTTCCCGTGCTCGAGCTAATGCTCCTATCCCAAGCACAATGCAATATGCATGATATGCATGAAATGCAACTAAGATACAACCTATCATACACAATGCTATGAAATGGCATACACGATGCACAAGATAATATGGCATACACAATGCGCTAACATACAACCTAGCATACACAACGCTATGGATTGAAATGGCATAC